TTCTCTTCTCCAGTGGACAATGTTTTGTCAGAACTCTCCACCATGACCCATCTGTCTTGGGTGGCCCTACATGGCATGGCTCATAGTTTCATTGAGTTAGACAAGGCTGTGGTCCATGTGATCAGTTTGGTTAGTTTTCTGTGATTGTGGTTTTCATTCTGTCTGCCCTCTGATGGAGGAGGATAAGAGGCTCATGGAAGCTTCCTGATGGGGGAGACTGACTGAGGGGGAAACTGGGTCTTGTTCTGATGGGCGGGGCCATGTTCAGTAAATCTTAAATCCAATTTTCTGTTGATGGCTGGGGCTATTTCCCTCCCTGTTATTTGGCCTGAGGCTAAACTATGGTGGAGGTAATGAGGATAATGGCGACCTCCTTCAAAAGGTTCCAGGCATGTACTGCTACACTCAGCGTCCCCAACCCTGCAGCAGGCCACCGCCGACCCACACCTCCACTGGAGACTCCTGACAGTCACGGACAAGTGTGGGTCAGTCTCTTGTGGGGTCACTGCTCCTTTCTCCTGGGTCCTGGTGCACAAGGTTCTGTCTGTGCCCTCCCAGAGTCTGTTTCCCAGTCCTGTGTGAGTTCTGGCAGCTCTGTGGTGGGGTTAATGGTGACCTCCTCAAAGAGGGCTTTTGCCCAGAGACTGAGACAGAACTGTGTTTGAGTGTCTCCTGTGGAGGTGCGAGTCAGCAGTGGACTGCTGCAGGGGCAGGAGCGCTGGGTGCCCACAGACTTGGGCATGCCAGGGTTTTAGACTTCTCTAATCTGTAAAGGAGACATTTTTAACAGGTGACCGAAACCTTCCTCTGCTTAAACATCCATACACAGGAGTGGTTGGGCTTCCCTCCCTTGGGACAGGGGATCAGAGGGTCAGAGTGGAGCAACCTGAGGGGGTGTGGAAGTGCTCAGACCACTGGGAGAGGTGGCTGTGACTGAGGCCACCCCACCGCATCACCCTATGCAGGCTTCGGTGCCCCGGCCACAGCCCGAGTGCCTCCCAGCCTGGGAGGTCCCACCAAGGTGGGGTGTGAGGACCCCTGTGTGCATGGTGCACTCCCCAGAGCCCCTGGCTGTGCGGATCCTCAGGGCCCATCCGTTCTGTTCTGTTTGTTTCATTTATGGACCAGCTGAAAGGACACTGACAGAGGTGAGCTTCCAGTTGACCGTGTTCTGGCCACAGGGCCCGCAGCCAGGCTGCTGGGAGGCTGACAGTGATAGTCAAAGTTGTTCCATCGCGTCTGACTCTTTGTCACGCCATGGACTATACAGTCCATGGAAATCCCCAGGGCAGAATACTGGAGTGGGCAGCCTTTCCCTTCTCTAGGGGATCTTCCCAACCCAGGGATCAAGCCCAGGTCTCCCACATTGCAGGCGGATTCTTCACTAGCTGAGGCATCAGGGAAGCCCTGGTGGGAGGCTGGGCTCCAGAAAACAACTGGAGGAAAAGCACAAGTTAATGTCGGATCCCAGCGGCTCACCCCTGTGCACAAACTGCCAGATCATCACAGAACCTCCTCTGGCCTCCGTTCAGAACGGAGTGCCAGCAAGCATTGCACCACCACCCAGGAGGCTGTCCAAGCCCCGTGACTGCAGCACACTCCGTCTCCATCTGCCAAGTTCAGCCTCAACGCCGCTTGGACGGCTTCAAGAGCCCAGACTGCCATACCCCATGCCCCCATCTTGACCCACTCTAATTATTTCCCAAAATGTTCCTCTAATGGGTTAATCCCATCAGATCTACCCAGATAAAACACTCCTTCTCTCCACTGCTTGCAAAATAAAACCCACCGTGGGGCTTCACTCGTGGCTCAACTGGTCAAGAATCCGCCTGCAATGTGGGAGACCTGGGTTCCATCCCTGGGTTGGGAAGATCCCCTGGACAAGGGAAAGGCAACCCACTCTAGTATTCTGGCCTGGAGAATTCCATGGGCTGTACAGTCCACGGGGTCACAGAGAGTCGGACACCACTGAGCCACTTTCACTTGGCTTACATAACACTGCATCCAAATTCAACTTACACCTCCTTTCCATCCCGCTGAAACAAAAGTGTCAACAGCTCCCACACAAAAGCCACACCTTTCCTGCTGAAGCTGACTTTTTTTGGTTATCTTTAAGTATCACACACATCATCAGAGCTTAATTTGAATTCCTACCTTCTCCACAAATTCTGAAGCACTTGTGTCAGACTGCTCTTACACAGCCCCGCGCTACAGTTGCAGAATCAGGCTTCTGGAGGCTGAAGCTTCAGCTTTGCAGAACACCTACACTATGCTCCCCAGCTGTATTCAGCACAGGTCTCAAAGGACACATTTAAAACTCAGTGTAGCTAACGGTGCATATATTGGTTTCTCGAAATGCTGACATGCAGTTAAAAAATATTCTGGATATTTTTTTCTGTAGTGGTGAGATGAATTAATGTGATAATCATTTATAACAGCATTCTCTAAAAGTCTACATCTTTAGGAATTTAAATCTGCTGTCATAAATCATAAACAGTACTTAATTTACAAAGCAATTAGAAATTTAATGGACCTTTTATTAAAGTTTTTTGTTTTTAAATATTTATTTGGCTGCACCTGGTCCTAGGTATGGCATGCGGGCTCTTTAGCTGGAGCATGTGGGACCTAGTTCCCTGACCAGGGATCAAAACCAGGGCCCCTGCACTGGGAGCAGATAGGCTTAGCCACTGGGCTACCAGGGAAGTTCCAAGTAATCTATTTTTAAAAAGTCAACTTGGTCAAGAAGTATTTTTGTTTATAATCCCCAAGTCTAAATAAATGTTTAATTACAACAATAATATAATAAAATAATAAAATTATAAAAAATAGTTGTCAAGGATTTGTTTGAAAGAATAAAACCAACAGACCCAGAAAAGGTAGATAGTGGTAGATTTTATTTATCAATGTAGTGATTAAAAACATTTAAAAAGAAGAGCGAAAAAGAGAAACAAAAGCTCAGAAAAGAAACATACTCAAAGCATCCATCAGGAAAGGTCATGGGAGCTTTGAGGACCATCCCTGGCCCACCTGAGCCCGCGACACTTGAGCGGCGGGGGTGCAGGTGCACCCCACTCGCAGCCTGGGAGGAGGCCTCGCACATCCCTCTCATCGTGACTCGCATTCAGAGGAGCCGCTCGAGGCTGGCCACAGGGACGGTCTCGTCTTCAGGGGGCAGGTGGAGCAGAACCAAGAGAAACAAAAGCTCAGAAAAGAAACATACTCAAAGCATCCATCAGGAAAGGTCATGGGAGCTTTGAGGACCATCCCTGGCCCACCTGAGCCCGTGACACTTGAGCGGCGGGGGTGCAGGTGCACCCCACTCGCAGCCTGGGAGGAGGCCTCGCACATCCCTCTCATCATGACTCGCATTCAGAGGAGCCGCTCGAGGCTGGCCACAGGGACGGTCTCGTCTTCAGGGGGCAGGTGGAGCAGAACCGATAGGAATCATCTCTGCCCCACTCCTTCCCCACACCTCTGCCGCAGTTGGGAAGCCCTCCTCGGAACGTCCAGGGCCCTGGGGGATGGATCCAGGCAACCAGCAGAAAGCAGGCATGCCAGGACTCTGTGGGCCAGGTAAGGAGCTCCCTGCCACCCTGAGCGCCAGGAAGACTAGGCGTCATGTCCTCCCCAGAGCTCCAGTCTGGGGGCCCTGCCGTCTTCCAGCTGATGCCGTGAAGCTGCAGTGGAGATGTCAGCCCCTCCAGTGGCCCGACTCACTCGTCACTGTGCCTCCATGGGGGCCACCCACCACTGACCTGCTGTCAGAGCCTGGGGCGGGCTACTTCTGTAGCAGGCTCCTCGAGATCAGCATCCGCATCACTTCGTTGCTGCCTGCGAGAGGGAGAGGGCAGGCCGGGCCTCAGGGTCAGGGAGGCTCTGACCAGTCTGACCAGGACTAAATAGCAGTGCTTTTCATCTCGACAGATGTCAGGAAGAAGAAAAAGTTTACTTGTGAAAAACCTCTTCTGATAGTAAAAATGCTTTTATTAGGTAAAAAGCAAAATAAAACAGCAGAACATACACATGATATAATTCTATTCTTTAAAAGTGTATCTACAAGCACAGAAAAAGTCCAAAAGCTGTATTTTTGGTCTAAACTATAAAAGGAACCCAAAATATTAATTCAGATGTCAAAACCTGAATGATCTTTTTAAACTTTTCTTGTGTTTTGTAATTTTTCAACGATAAATACACCAACATCGTTGGTAATCAGAAAACTGAATTTTAAAAGAACAAAAACATTTTCCCTGAAAGGGGGTGGAATCAGTTGCTGGGGGGAGGAGATGAGTTGCTTGCTTTTTTTTTACATTCTTTCTGATGCAAAAAATGCTCTAGAACCTGGGAGCCACAGCCACCAAGTCTGTGCCCTAGAACCTGGGAGCCACGGCCACTGAGTCTGCACTTAAAACCTGGGAGCCATGGCTGTCGAGGCTGCGCTCTAGAACCTGGGAGTCATGGCTGCCGAGCCTGCCCTAGAACCCAGGAGCCACGGCCACCGCGTCTGTGCTCTAGGACCTGGGAGAGACAGCCACTGAGCCCATGCGCTGCAATGACTGAAGCCCGTGCTCTGCAATAAGAGAAGCTGCTGCCATGAGAAGCTGGCACNCCTAGAACCTGGGCGTCACGGCCGCCGAGCCTGTGCCCTAGAACCTGGGCGTCACGGCCGCCGAGCCTGTGCCCTAGAACCTGGGCGTCACGGCCACTGAGTCTGCACTTAAAACCTGGGAGCCATGGCTGTCGAGGCTGCGCTCTAGAACCTGGGAGCCATGGCTGTCGAGGCTGCCCTAGAACCCAGGAGCCACGGCCACCGCGTCTGTGCTCTAGGACCTGGGAGAGACAGCCACTGAGCCCATGCACTGCAATGACTGAAGCCCGTGCTCTGCAATAAGAGAAGCTGCTGCCATGAGAAGCTGGCACACGGCAAAGAAGAGTATCCCCTGCTCGCTGCAACTAGAGAAAAGTTGTGCAGCAACAAAGATCCAGCGCAAACAAAAATAATAAATAACTAACTAAACAATAAAACTGACAAAGGCCAAGAGCAGGGGGAGGGGGACCTCAGAGGGGACAGAGCAGAACTTCCTGACCCCCAGGCCACTGCCCTCCCCTCCACAGCGGCCAGGAGGGAGGAGGGGGGAGGGGAGGCGGGACCCAGGCAGCACGGGGACAGATGCCGGGCTGAACGCTCTCACAGGGAGGAAGCCATCTTGGGTGCCTTTACCTTCAAGGATCTGATGGACCCGGGAGTCCCGCACGTACTGCTGGACGGCGTAGTCTTTCAGGTAGCCATAGCCGCCGTGCATCTGCAGGGCCTGGTTGCAGATCTGCAGGGAGATGGGGGTGAGGAACCTTGGGTCCCAGGAATGCGCTCCTCCCCACGAGCACCCACGTGGGCCTCTCCTGAGTAAACTGGTGCCTCAAGTAGCACCCCAGGAGCGAACAGAAGGCCCACCACATCCTGGGCGCCCAGGAGAGCTACAGCGCCAGCACTCACTGCAAAGCATTCGTCTGTGGCGAAGAGCTTGGCCATGGAGCACAGGACCACCGCGTCCTCCCGCTCCTCTTGCAGAGCCATGGCCGCGGTGCGGATCATCAGCCGGGAGGCCACCAGCCGGGCCGCCATCTCGGCCAGCTGGAACTGCAGGTACTGCAGCGAGAGGCAAGAGAACCACACACACAGACGGCTCAGCACTGCCCGAGGCCCCGAGAGCCCCTCCAAGGTCAAGCCTCCGCCACGGGCCACGGGCCCTGGGCCCCACCAAGAACGAGCCTGGTAAGCTCCAAGTCCACTCCACTCCTGCACTGCAGTTACCATCTCCTCAAGGAGGTGCCCCCTCTGTCCACCCCTTCAACCTACAGCCAGTAAAACACCCACAGCCCCACACAGGTTCCTCTGCCCAGCACACCAGGGTGCCCTGGTGGCCCACACCTCTGCACCTCATGGTGGTGGCCTGCGACCTGGAGAAGCAGGACCCGAGGACTTGAGACCCCAGACCTCGGCCCCTGGCCCGGCAGCTGAGCCCACAGCAGCACCCAGGACCCAGCAAGTCAAGACAGGTGAGGTACTCGAGACCCCAGCTCCATCCCCACTCCCCTACCCCAGGCGACCCTGGACAAGGCAGAGGAACCCACCATCCGGGTGCCTCTAGTGGGATACCAGCCGTAGCCAGAAGCCTGGGCACAGGGCAACACCTCAGGGAGAGGCCACGCAGGCAAGAGAAACCAAAGCTCAGGCTGCAGAACCACCTGCTGGAAACCAGAAGAAAAGCCTCTAACTTCCAACCTGTGGGGTTGTTAGAATCAGGCAGAAAAAAGCTTTACCTAAGAACAGACTGGCTACTTCAAATGAGCCAGCTAAAGAGGAGTAACTCACCAGTAACACAGGCTATCACAAAAAGATGACAATTCTCCGGAAACCAAACCAGTCATGAATACTGGCTCTAACTGGTGGAGAATTCAAAAGAGCCATCATGAGGAAAGTCAATGAACTGTGAAATAACTCAGGAATAAAAGTAATGAACAGAAGGAATATTTTGCCAAAGATACTGACATTCCAAGAAAGAATCAAACCAAAATCCTGGAGCTGAAGAACTCAATATACGTAATGGGGAATGCATTAGAAAGCTATGCAAATATAGCAGACCATATAATTAGAGAACCTGAAAACAGAAACCTGGAAATGATTCACAGACAAGAGGAGAGCTAAGATTAAAACAAATCAACCCTATCAGAGCTATCCCACTCCACCAGAAAGAGCAGTATAAGGATGGTAAGCATCCAGAAGGAGAAGACAGGAGACAGGGGTATAGAGCTTGTTTACAGAAAGAGAACGTCCCAAACCTGGGGAAGGAACTGGATATACATGTCCATAAGGCTAAGAGAACACCTGATTACCTCAAGGCAAAAAGACCTTCTCCCAGACATATATTAAACCTGTCCAACGTCAATGACAAAGAACCTTAAAGTCAGTCAGAAGAAAGACCATAACCTACAAAGGGACCTCAACAAGCTAAGAGCTGAACAGAACTATCCCATGATCCAACTATTCCACTTATGGTATTTTTCCAAAAAAATATGAAAACACTAAATCAAAAAGATACATGCGTCCTCAAGTTCACTGCAGCATTTGCAATAGCTAAGATATGGAAGCAACCTAAGTGTCCAACAAGAGAAAGGACAAAGAAGATGGAACGTATGTATACGATGGACTGCTGCTGCTGCTGCTAAGTCGCTTCAATCATGTCCGACTCTGTGCGACCCCATAGATGGCAGCCCACCAGGCTCCCCCGTCCCTGGGATTCTCCAGGCAAGAACACTGGAGTGGGTTGCCATTTCCTCCTCCAATGCATGAAAGTGAAAAGTGAAAGTGACATCGCTTAGTCGTGTCTGACTTGTAGCGACCCCATGGACGACAGCCCACCAAGCTCCTCTGTCCATGGGATTTTCCAGGCAAGAGTACTGGAGTGGGGTGCCATTGCCTTCTCTGACAATGAACTACTACTTAGCCATAAAAAGAATGGAATTCTGCCATTTGTGCCAACATGGATGGACCTAGAGTGTTACGTTAAGTGAAGTCAGACAGAAAAAGACAAATACCGTATGACTTTACTCACACAAAGAATCTAAAAAACACACAGTAAATGAAAACACAAAACCACCTCACAGATACAGAGAACAGACTGGGGGTTACCAGAGGAAGAGGGCAGGACGATGAAACGGGTAAAGGGGGTCAGCTGAACGGTGATGGATGGAATCAGACTTCTGGTGGTGAGCTTGCTATAGTGGAAAAGAAGTCCAATTATAATGTACGCAGGAAACCTTAAAGATGTTGTAAACCAGTGTTACCTCCATTAAGAAAAAAGAATGAAAAACTGGGTCACAAACACTCCAATCCCGCTCCCCTGAAATAACTACTTTTTGCATTTTCAGACCTATCTTTTGAAAACATTTTATTAGTGTTTAAATGTATTTATGTATTTCATAAACAAAATAGCACACGCTCCTAAAATATCATGTTTCTCTTGCCATGTAATACATCAGGAATCTTCCTGCGACTATAAATAAAAACTATTATAAACTGGACAGTAAAAAAGCAGAAGTTCTGGCTGCAATGAGGGTAGAACCAGTAAGAGACGTTAGGGCCCCACTGTTCCAGAAGACACTCTGGAGACAAGAGCAAATGAAGGGGTGGAGAGTTACCTGGTTATTGGCCAGAGGCTCTCCAAACTGCTTCCGGACCTTGAGGTAGTCTCGAGCGAGGACGACTGAGGCGTGAGCGGCTCCCAGGGAGCAGGAGGCTGGGAGGGAGGGGACCAAGGCGGCCAGTGAGTTGGGGGCCGTCGCGCCCGCCCCCCGCCCACCGCCCCCCACGGTCCTCACCGACATTGATCCTCCCTCCATTCAGGCCCTTCATGGCGATGAGGAAGCCCTGGCCCTCGTCCCCGATCCTGTTGGCCACCGGGACTGCACAGTCTTCAAAGATCACCGCTCGGGTCGGCTGTGAGTTCCACCCCACCTGGCAAAAATTAGGGGCTGTGTGGCGGCCCGGCAGTCACCACGCAGCGCGGCGTCCGCTGTCCACTCGGGCCCGAGATGGGCGCTCTACGGTCCCGGGACTCAGGCTCCCGGGAACTCAGCTGAGGAGAAACGAGAAGGCCACTCCTCAATATGTCAGCTCTGACAGACTTCCCTTTCAGCACGTTTAAACATACCGAGAACACCTACTTCCGAGCATCCGCTCACCACACCAGCCTGGCGCGGGACGGGCTCCAGAGCGCAGGAGCCAGTCACGCACCTTGCCCCAGCGGCGCTTCCGGCGGCGTCACGCCGGCGGCCGGAAGTGGGAGCATTCACACCACAGACACCGACAAAGGCTGCACAGGAGGACTTCCTGGTCTCTGCTTTTCCCAGGGAGCTGGTTTAGCAAGACACCCCCTCAGTATGTCAGTCTCGAGCCCAGGGACAGTTCTCCCCGCCTAGGACGCCACCCATGCCCTGTAACTAGCCGCTGGCGGCCCGCGTGCCTTCTCGGGCCACGGTGTCCCCACGGGCAGCTTCACCGGGAGGCCGGCAGAGCCCCCTTCCTCACGAAGAGCCGGATTTAGGTGCCCCACAGAAATAGACTGGCCTCCTTCCTCTCCGCTCCAAAAGACCCATGCTGTCAGATCCTGCGGGCACGGGGCCAGACAAGCCCCCGGCCCAGGGGCTAGCAGCCCTCCCCCCACCACCCCCTTGAGGGCGCCCTGCCTGGGAAGCGGCCCCAGCCCACGGCCTTTCCTCTGAGGCCTCTGTCCAACCCTGGCTCAGCCCCTCTCCTATCCCGCCCCCTTCAGGGCCTCCCACACCGCCCTTCTGCTGCCTCTGCCCCTCCCTGGGAACACGCCTCACCCCCACCTCCCGGTGGAGCCTCCCAAGGCCCCTCTGGTCAGCAGGGCCGGCCCTGACCTCTTGTCTTCCAGACCCCGAGTCTGGACCCTCCCACCCTGGCCATGGGTCTCCCTGGGCACTCACCTCCCGTGCAGGATACACACCCCTGGATAGGGCAGCTCGGGCGACCTTAACACTGAGTTGTAAGAGAATCAGACACATGGCCGCCACCTCCCAGCCCTTTCGGGTGAAAACGTCTCCCTCCTCACCGCCCAGAGTCCCTGAGAAGCTGCAGCCAGAAAGAACAGATACTCCCCGGTCCCAGCCCAGAACAAGGAGTCCCTTCCTGTCTGTCTTTCATTCCAAAGACCACCTTCCCATTGCCACCGAGGAGTCCTCCCTGCTACCCGTCCGGCGAGAAAGCCCATTATTCCATACAAAATCTTTTGATAACTAAATCCAAGCTAAAGCAATTCCTCACTCCTTTTCTGTTTCAAGTTCTCAGCTACAGAAGGCGCTCAGTACACCAAGTGGAAGCATGTGCTTGCAGGAAAGATGGGGGGTGGGGGGTGGCCAGCGGCTCAGGCCACCAGGGCAGCCAGATCAAGCGAGGGGGTCGGCAAGTAACCCCTTGCCTGGCCTGCAAGCTCTCTGACCTCACCCCACACGGAGCCCTCTGCTCATGACCCCCCGGCCACACTGAGAAATTCTGGCTTCTTCAAACACACTAATTTTGTTTCCACATCAGGCCCTTCGCAACCACTGCTGCCTCTGCCCAGAGCCCTCCTCACGGCTGGCTGGCAGCGGGCTCCTGAACTGGCAGATTGCATCAAGTGACACCTTATCTTCAGAGGGCCACGCTGTCCCTACACCGAGCAGCTCTCCTCTGCCCGCATCACGCCCCAGCTTGCTCCCCTCCCTCATGCTGACAGGAGGCACCGCATTTATCCCCGAGTCCACCGGCCCGCCCACTGCTCACAGGCAGCCCAGCGCGCCAGTCTGGCGCTCTGCTCTGTCCAGGTACCTGGCAGCGGACACCTGCTAGCTGCTGAACCAATGAGACGGCCTTCTGAATTTCCCATTTGTCAAGAGATACGCAAAGCACAACTAATAATCAAGAAGAAAACTAAAAAGCAAAAAAAGACAATAATGTATGCTTGAAAGTGAGAGGAGACAGAGCATAAGGAGAAAAAGAAACTTTTTGTATACGTAATTTATTTACAATTTTTTTCCAAGCCCCAAGCTAGCTAGCTTTGGTAATACTGCCAACAGATACCAGAAATACGAATGTGTTGAATCAGCCAACACTAGCTTTATGAGCACAAACACCAGAATCAGTATAACCTGGTTCTATAATACAACATGTCAGACTCCGTGTCTGTCCGTCTCAAAACCAGACAGACATCCCACCCGTCTCCCATGCCGCGTGCACATAGCTCAGCGTTTACAAAGGTAAGAGGGCACGTGTCTTAAAATCGCAGGCAGGAGCGAGCATAAGGCTTTGCACACTCAGTGTTGAGGGGGTCCAGCTTGGCTGCACGAGGGAGGGGGCACTGAGCGTCTCAAGCCCTGGCAGCTGCAGAGAGTCAGGATCAGGAAGGGCGTGGAGGGGCGTGGGGGGCCCGGGGAGCCGGCGGAGGTGGCGAGAGGCAGACGTGGGGCCATCTCCTCACGGACTGCTCCCCGGCCCCAACTCTAAGGGCACCTGCTGGAGCCGAGGACTCGCCGGGCCGGCCCACCTGAGCAGACCCCAGCTCAGGACCAAGGGCAGTGAAGTAACCACAGGTCTACAGCTCAGGGCCTGGCTGTGAGATCTGTCCATCCTGGAGATGTCTTCTCATGAGACGGCCTTCTGAATTTCCCATTTGTCAAGAGATACGCAAAGCACAACTAATAATCAAGAAGAAAACTAAAAAGCAAAAAAAGACAATAATGTATGCTTGAAAGTGAGAGGAGACAGAGCATAAGGAGAAAAAGAAACTTTTTGTATACGTAATTTATTTACAATTTTTTTCCAAGCCCCAAGCTAGCTAGCTTTGGTAATACTGCCAACAGATACCAGAAATACGAATGTGTTGAATCAGCCAACACTAGCTTTATGAGCACAAACACCAGAATCAGTATAACCTGGTTCTATAATACAACATGTCAGACTCCGTGTCTGTCCGTCTCAAAACCAGACAGACATCCCACCCGTCTCCCATGCCGCGTGCACATAGCTCAGCATTTACAAAGGTAAGAGGGCACGTGTCTTAAAATCGCAGGCAGGAGCGAGCATAAGGCTTTGCACACTCAGTGTTGAGGGGGTCCAGCTTGGCTGCACGAGGGAGGGGGCACTGAGCGTCTCAAGCCCTGGCAGCTGCAGAGAGTCAGGATCAGGAAGGGCGTGGAGGGGCGTGGGGGGCCCGGGGAGCCGGCGGAGGTGGCGAGAGGCAGACGTGGGGCCATCTCCTCACGGACTGCTCCCCGGCCCCAACTCTAAGGGCACCTGCTGGAGCCGAGGACTCGCCGGGCCGGCCCACCTGAGCAGACCCCAGCTCAGGACCAAGGGCAGTGAAGTAACCACAGGTCTACAGCTCAGGGCCTGGCTGTGAGATCTGTCCATCCTGGAGATGTCTTCTCAAGGCCCAGGGAAACACCCTCCTCTTACGTTCCTGAGGGACCCACGGTTACCTCCAGTGAGCTCTGCTGAGCTAAGGAAGAAAAGTGGGCCAAAAGCACTCCACTCCCGAGACCTCTAGTCTCCGGTAGGCATATCTTCTTGGGTAACAAGGGGGCGGAGACATAGGAAGTAAGAAATACAGGCCAGAAGTGGCAGCAGGAGCCAGTGGAGACTTCTCATATCTCCACCGATGTAAGCCACTGGTAAACGCGGGCGCCAGGCCATGCAGTGAGGCCCGTCCCCAACTCCCTGTGGTGTTGAAACCCTCGCTGAAGCAACAGCCTGCAAGGCTGGGGCGCCAGGGCGACCCGCTTGCTGAGGTGGGGCGGGGCTCCCGCCTGATGCTCCCTGTCCAACCGCACTCACCTTTTTCTCCTTCTTGCCAAAGCTGAGGCCAGGGGTCCCCTTCTCCACCACTACACAAGAGATGCCTCTGGGGCCCGGCCCTCCTGTGCGGCACATGACTACGTATATGTCAGCTTCACCGCCACCACTGATGAAGGCCTGTGGAGTCGCAGGGGGAAGACAGCGGGTCCCCCGGTGATGGGGCAGTGGGAGGGGAGGGGCAGTGGGAAGGGGTCCCAGGACGCTGTACCCAGGCCACAGAAAGTACGGATACAGGACGGGCCTAACTGGGCTCAGACCAGAGGAGAAACAGCGACGGTGAACACAGGGAAATAGGTCTGAGGTCCTCGCCCCACATGCCGTTTTTGGGAAGGTTCACTTGCAGACACGTGGGCCGGGCCGGGTGGGTGGCAAGGGGTAGGGCTGCCGCCCTTCCTGGGAGGGCCGTGGTCGCTGGCCGTGTACCTTGGAGCCATTGAGGATGTAATGATCCTGTTGTCGCACGGCAGAGGTCACGAGGGAGGCGGCATCGCTCCCACTCCCTAGGGCGGGCCGAAGGGGAGCTGAGAGGTGGGGGTGCTGGGGCAGGGAGGGAGCCAGTGAGGCCCCAGCTCCTGAGAGACCGCCCCTAACGACAGATGCCTTCGATCCAGGCCTGGAGAAGCGCACCATGCTCAGGGAGAGCCCCCCCCACCCCGCCCCTCCATCCCCCCGCTCCAGGGAGCCCCGAGCCTTGTGACCTGCGAGCTTGTGAGACCTCTAGGTCGGGATGGAGACACGAGCCGGGAGGGGGCGGGTGGGCACACCCACCTGGCTCGGTGAGGCAGTATGAGGCGAACTTCTCCATGGCGCAGAGCGGCGGGCACAGCCGCTGCCGCTGCTCCTCACTCCCGAAGCGGTCGATCATCCAGACGCACATGCTAAGCGCACCCAGGAGGCGAGGACAGAGACAGACAGAAGGGAAAGGCAGCCTGAGGGGAGGGCACGCGCGCAGGGGAGAAGCCACAGCTGAGAAGGCTCACCTTTCAAGCAGAGGCGGGTTTTAGCACACAGTCAGGGAACACAGTACCCAGAGGGACCCAGGGCCAAGGTCACCTGGGCGCTGGCCACACTATCGCCAGTTAGGTTAACTGAGCTCCTTTAAAAACCAAGCCATCCTATGTTCTCTCCCAAATTAGTGGAGGCTCCATCTCTGGGTTGAGGGAGAGAGAAGAGAGGCCCTTCCCTAATGCAGAACTCTTGTCTGGAACCAGGTCAGCTGGCATCTGGGAGAAGGGCAGCATTCTCTAAGCAACACACAAGATGACAGATTTGGGCGCAAGAGGCAGCTGCAAACCTCATGAGAACTGCTACCAGTTTGGCTCCTCAGGGACAGGCAACCTACACAGCAAAACCCTCTCCCGTTCACACAGACGGTGCCTGCCGACCCACGTGAGCATGCGCTGCGCCCGCCGGGCCAGGCACTCACTTGTGGATGCTCATGTAGGCCGTGGTGCTGGTGCAGCCCGTGGCCAAGGCTTCAAAGATGACGGAGGCGTCCAGCCGCGAGAGGCCCGCCCCTCCAACGTCTGTCTGAACGTACACCCCCCCAAAGCCCAGCTGCGCTGCCTTCCGCATCATGTCCACAGGGAACAGCTCCTGTGGACAAAAGGGCAGGGTCATCAGAGAGGGACTCACAGGCAGGCTTCTCTCCAGGGGGCGTGAGGAGGGACCCAGGAGTGTGCACTCAGGCAAGGGGACGGAGCCTCTCAACTCAGTGCTGCTTTTGTTACCCACACAGTGGTACCAGTTCAAATGCATTCTACGAGGACTGCTTTCTGGCACTCAAATTTCTTTTTATCATTCCAGGACTGTCTAGATTTTAAGAGTGCCCAAATCTTAATTTTCATCTACGAATTAAAACAGTGGTATCTGCAGGCGGAGGACTCGCGCCCCTGCAGGAGCTCGCGTTTGTTGTGAGCTTTCAGAGCAGGACAGACACTGAGGAGGGGGCTCATCATGCAGCTGAACTCGCACCTTCTGGTCCCACTCTGCCATGTGCGGCGCCATCTCGCGGGCAGCAAAGCTGAAGGCCACTTTCTGGAACTCTTTCTGCTCTTCATTTAGTCCCATGGAAGCTGTGGGCAAGGCAGCACTTACTCAGAACTGGATCGGGGCTCAGGGGAGAGGACAGCAGGCCAGAAGCCCCGAGCAGCGTGGCGGGCAGAGGACGTTCGAGAACACCCCCGCGTGGAGCTCCGCCGCGCGCCCCCATGAACCCGAGCCTCCTTTCGGTGCTCCCAAACACACTGGCCGACTTCTTCCACCCTGTTACTACTTCCATTACTCATCTTTCCCTTTCCTCCTTGTAAGACCACATTAAAAAATAACACACACTGACCCTCATGTTATGGTAAAATATTTTTTCCTTTAGGATGCCCTGCCTTTCCTGTGTCGGAATCTGCGCACATCTGTCTGTATGCATCAACAGAGCCGTTTTAAACGCTCAGTCAGGAAAGGAGAAGAGGTGTGCTCTGGCTCACTTTCCAAACTGAGGATAAAGATCCTGCAGCAAAGCTGTGCATCTGATAGTCACAGATTAACAGGGACACTGAGTCTTCCAGCGCTGAGAACAAGGCTAAGGGCCTCCTAAATCTGTCCTCACCAAATGCATTCAGGAATTTTAGAGTATTTTCTTCTCCGACTATTAGTGCTTTGGGTAATTCCTTCACTTCCAGCTCGAAGCTACTTAAAAGCGAAGAAACTGACTGACTGGTACTATCAGTCCAGCTTCATCAGGATAAGTTTTTCTAGAACCATAAACATTTTGAAAGAGATACTACTACTCCAGTATCTCATGACAGGTGATACTTTTGAGAGAGATCCCTGCATCAGCCTGACACCCTGACCACCCGGTTCAGTGTCACCACTTCACAGCTTTTCTCTAAATAGCCAGCTCTCCGAATGACGTGAACACTGTTCATTTTGTACATTTCTTTTTTACCCACAAACACTGCGCAGTGTGAATGCGGGACAGGACTGAGCTGTAAAACAGAGCAACAGGCCCAACAGCCAGGGCCTGAAACCTTTACCATTTTCCCCATTTTGCAAGGTGACACATTCTGCTAAGGGCAGGCCGGCAGCTAAAAGAAAGAACCTAAGCTAAGCTCCCATGAGAAGACCACAAGCTGTTGGGAATGGTGTAGAGCATGTAGACAGGACCATGAATCGGGGGAGCCACACCACAGAGTGGTCAGCAACCTTCACAGGTCGAATCACAGTCGTTTCTCCTTTGTTTCTTGGTGCGGCCCCTTGGAAAGGACCCCCTGCCTCAGACGTGCCAAGAAGCATCAAGGAGCGTCTCTTAGCGCGCGAGGCACAGCAGCGGCTGCGAAAACGTCAAGGGCAAAGTGGAAGGTGCGGGCTCCACGCGAACTCCGAAGACTACACCCTTCCATGCGAAACAAGGTGCTGGGGGGGACGGTCCAGAGCACGGGAGGTGCGGAGTCTCAGGGGACAACCCCCTTCAGTGCCCGACTGCCCCGCAGCCATTCTCTCAGAGAACCTGGGCGAACTCGGGCCTCGGGAGAGGCTGCCCGTGAGCCAGCAGAGAGCTGTGTGTCCCCAGCCGGACTCTCGTTAAGATGGGAGTTGTGAAGATTAAAGGTGGCGTTCTCTTGAGAAGTCCAAGGCAGAAAACTACATTGGGTGGTGCTCTCAGAAATATGGTTAGGGATAACACTTCATGGTTCCCTACTCAGGACTCAAGCCATTTTCCACTCACAAAAGAATTTGGACTGAAGGTCTACCATGGGGCAGTGCTGGGGCAGGATGTCGTAAGTGCTAAGGAAATGAACACCTGAGTGTATATGGGCTTCAGAACTTCAGTCTGAGCAACAGCTCAACACATCTTTACAGATGCTATTATTAGTATCGACAGATTCAAACAAGTAGTTCAAGGTATAAAAGGTTTAAGTACATCTAAACTGCAAGGAGATCTAACCAGTCCATCCTACAGGAGATCAGTCCTGGGTGTTCACTGGAAGGACTGATGCTGAAGCTGAAACTCCAATACTTTGGCCACCTGATGCGAAGAGCTGACTCATTGGAGAAGACTCTGATGCTGGGAAAGACTGAAGGTGGGAGGAGATGGGGACAGCAGAGGATGAGACGGTTGGATGGCATCAACGACTTGATGGACATGGGTTTGGGGGGACTCCGGGAGTTGATGATGGACAGGGAGGCCTGGCATGCTGTGGTTCATGGGGTCGCAAAGAGTCAGACATGACTGAGCGACTGAACTCAACTGAAACTGCATCCAAAGTAAATTAACAGGGAACAAATTCAGACAAATCAGACATAAAGGCACACGTCATTTTACTGTCCTTCATTTCACTCTGCAGAATCTTTTTTTTTTTTTAACCAATCAAAGGTCTGTAGCAACCCTGCATTGTCAAATGATGGTTAGCCTTGTTTTTTGTTAGCAATGCAGTGTTTTTAAATTAAGGTGTGAATGCTGCGTTCTTAGATCCGATGCTGCGTTCTTAGACCCGATGCTGCTGCACATATCACAGACTACAGTGAACCAAACATACAGTGTCTCTGAGGGTGCTTGCATAGATACAGCATGGTCACATATTTATTTAAGATCAGTAACAGTCATTTCTAGAGAATGGAATGCCAACAAAAGGAGCTCCAATACTTTGGCCACCTGGTGCAAACAGCTGACTCATTAGAAAAGACCTTGATGCTGGGAAAGACTGAAGGCAGGAGAAGGGGACGACAGAGGATGAGATGGTCGGATGGCATCACTGACTCGATGGACATGAGTCTGAGGAAACGCCAGGAGTTGGTGATAGACAGGGAGGCCTGGCGTGCTGCAGTCCATGGGGTCGCAAAGAGTTGGACACGACTGAACAGCAACAACAACAAAAGGAGAACACCGGTTGGAGTAAACAAGCAAAAAGTCAAGTTAAAAAGTAAATAATACAAAAGAAAGCATGAGTATACGGTATGAGTATACTCAGTGTTACTGAGTATAAATACCCCAGTTTCCAGAAAACATGAGCGAAAAACACAACAAAAAAACAGGCCACATTAAGTTTGCTGGAGCTATTGGCAGAGTTCAAGAAGCCAGCACACAAACACAAGAATATACATACACAAATACACAGGGAAATAGTAAAGCTAAACAGAAAGAGCCCACATTAGAGGAGGCAACCCTTGACTGTACAGTAGTTCAAGGGTAAACAAGAGGCAAAAAACTGAACACAGGAATCTCTGAATGCATCCAGAGCCCACACATAACCAGATCTCAACAGTTCTGAGAATCTTGGCGCCGAGAGAGCAGGTGGGAAGCTCCAGCAAACAGCAATGGACGAGCAACCAGGCGTTCAAGCTCTGGGTCTGCAACTATTAATTACACAGCTCTCAGGAGGGAAGGCTTCTCTCTGTCTCAGGTTCCCCACTGTAAAACGAGAGGGCTGCACTAGACCCTACTAAGAAAGTTTCTCCATCTGTCAAATGATACATAAAGTGAAAGAAAGTGAAGTCACTCAGTCGTGTCCGACTCTCTGCGACCACATGGACTTTAGCCTACCATGACTATGACTATGACTATGGGATTTTCCAGGCAAGAGTACTGGAGTGGGTTGCCATTTCCTTCTCCAGGGGATCTTCCTGACCCAGGGACTGAACCCGGGTCTCCCGCATTGTAGGCAGACGCTTTACCACCTGAGTAAGTTTATGATTAATAACAGCAAAGCTCACGAGTCCCCGCGCCGGAGCCTGCCCTTATCAGCAAGCAGAGGTAACAAGCCAACTCCGAGCACTGGGAGAGAAGGGAACCCACGCTCGGACCCGGCCGCGCCCGCCGTGGGCCCCCGCCCGCCCGCGCGACCCCCCTGCTCCGCACGCGCCTACACGGAGCCGGAGGCGGCCCGGCCAGCTGAGCCTTACGGTCAATGCAGGAGACGACGCCCCTCCGGGCGCTCTCGGCGAGGCCCCGGGGCCCGCGGCGCAGCCCCCTCAGCCACGCCCCGGCGCGCTGGAAGGTTCCTCGCAGCATCACCTTTACTTGCTCCTCTCCCCGCAGCTCCGGCCGCGGTCTGAGCGCCCGCGACCTCGGGAGGCAGGCGGGCCGCGGGGGCCACGCCGCACTGCACGCCGGGAGCTGTAGTGCGCGCCGCGGCCACCGAGGGCGCGCTCGGGGCGCCTGCGGTAGAAGCCGGAACTACAATTCCCAAAGGCCCGCGGGGCCGCGGCCCGTGCCCCAAGACCGGAGAGCGCCGCGGGGCGCCGGCGTGGATCGCTGGGGTCGGCCCCGAGCGCGCGGCGCGGACCGAGAGAGGAGAGCACCAGAAGCGCGCGCCGGGGGCTTCGCGGGGTGCAGAGGCTTCGCTGGTCGCCGCGGGAGGGTCCAGCGAGCACCCGAGGCGGCGGCCCGTCCCGACCCGCGGGTCAGCATGCGGCGAGCCCGGAAGAGGCCAGCGGGGCCGAGTGAGCGCGCCGGGCGGCTCAGCGCGCGCGGGGAGAGACCGGGAGGCTGGTTCTGTGATCCCGGGCCCCGAACCGCCCCCCGGCTTCTGTCCTGGGCCCTTCTCTGCCGCTCGTCTGTCCGAGCGCTGACTCCGGGGAAGGCGCTGGGACGAGGGTCGGCGCGCGCGGCCCCCACTCCAAGGGGAGCCACACGCGGAAGGGAAGGGTCGGGGGGCCGGGGGCTTTGAGTCTAGCGTGGAAAATGGGTAGGAGAGCGGGGCGTCTCTCGTATTCACAGGGTGAGTGGCATTCTCTGGAAGAGCAGCAGCAGCAGAGCACTCAGAGGCAGAGGAAGTGCTTGCTGGAGACGGAGGAGGGTTCCGGGTTGTTGCTTATCAGCGCACGCGGTGTTTAGTGTCCAGATCACTGTCTAGGGGGACGACCGGCACACCAGGAGGGTGCCGTGTGTTAGACGGCCGTTAGGATGGCTCACGTCGGAGCTTCCACTTAGTTCAGAGGCCGTGCAGGAGGGTCAGGTGTGTTCAGGCCAGCGTGGCAGGCTGGTGTATGATCTGGTGCATACCCTCCAGGTGGATGGTGTGGACTGCCTGCCTTAGGTTGAGCGTGATCACGGAGCACAGGTAAAAACTTAATAGCTCTTAGTTACCAGGTACCCACTTCTACCCAGGCACATTTCCCTCATTGGAGGACGAAACTGAGTTCTGACCATGTCTGCAAACTACTCAGTGGCGGTTTTATCCAGCTTCTCTGAGCATCTTCGAATGGAGAAGCAGGCTCAGAGCACAGTGAGCAAGGAAGGAGTCTGAGGTGACATAGAAGCTCATGTTCCTGAACACTGATGATGACAGCAGGCACACTATTTGTATTGTGCTTGTGCTCAGTTGCTTCAGATTCTGTGACCCCACAGACTGTAGCCCGCCAGGCTCCTCTGTCCATGGGATTCTCCAGGCAAGGATGCTCGAGTGGGTTGCCATGCCCTCCTCCAGGGGATCTTCCCAACCCCGGGGACTGAACCCCCTATCTCTTAAGTTTCCTGTGTTGGCAGGTGGGTTCTTTAAGACTAGCACCACCTGGGAAGCTCCGACTCCAGAGCAGCTGTTTTTCCTGCATCAGAACTTTCTCAGCAAGAAAGTAAGTTCCCTTCTTTTTGCTTCTGTTGCAGACACGAAGGGGCAAGAAGGAAAACGCACCAAAGCTCAGAACCTAGGGGGGGCATCAGCCCAAGTGGAGAACTCCAGCCTCCAGAAGACTCCAGCCTCTGAAGACGGTGGGGAGGCCCTCAGCAGCTACTGGCTGATGAAGTCAGAGCCAGACAGCCGACTGGAGAAAGGCGTGGACGTGAAGGTGCGGCCCGCGCCCGCTCCACGGTGCACAGGGGATGCCACGAGGCCCATCACCTGCTTCTTGGCGCTGAGGAGCAGGAGGGTGGTGTGGAGTAGCACCGGCAGGATTTCCTGCCCTCTGCCCTCTGCTCTGTGAAGCCAGGTGGTTGTGGTTGCCGTGCTGCTGTCGTCCTTAGAAGGTGGCCACGTGGCTTGCATGGGAGGGGAGTCTGGGGGAGAGTGGATTCATGTGGGCCTGTGGCTGCATCCCTGTCACCACAGCGTCAGATGTACGCCCATGCAAGAAAAAAAGCAATGACGCCAGAAAAACTGGCCACAGGCCACCTGTGTTCCACTAAACAAATGGTGTGGCTGAGCGCCAGTGAACGAAACTGTCTGCGTGTCAGGCAAGGGCTGGATGTGGCCTGAAGGCTGGTCCGCCAGGCCACACTCGGCCTTGGGCTGCCTTTCTCTTGCCACCTGCTGTGCCCTTAGGTATCTCCCTGCCAACAGCCAGTAACCAGGGGGTGAGTGTGAATCAGTTCTCACAACAGCCCAGAGACAACACAGTTGGAGAGGCTATAGAAGGGATACATAATATTTAAGTGGAATAGAGATAACCGGGTTACCAGATTAATTACCCACTCAGCTAATTCTCTGGACTGTGAGGGATGACAGGGTGGCACAGGGCTGCCGCCTGCATGCCTGGCACGCGCGGCTCCATGGGGCACTTCCCAGAGGCTCCTGGGCCCTGCTACCAGCAGTGCCCACGCTAAACGGGGAGGAATGTGTCTGCTTCCGTACCTCCTGACCAGCCGGCCCAGGAGTGTTCACTGAATGACCTTGTTTCCGGCCCAGTTCAGCATCGAGGATCTCCAGGCACAGCCCGGGCAGACGACGTGCTGGGACGGTGTTCGCAACTACCAGGTAGGTGGGCTTGCGGGGCCGTGAGGCTTGAGGGGAAAGCCTGCTTCCCTCTGCCCTACTCAGGAGTGAAGCTGTCTCAGCCAAGGCCGCTTTTTCCCTGAACCCAAACCCAAACACCTGAATTTCTCTGGCTGCCTGCAGCTTTGAAACTGCCTGTGTCCAGCCAGTGTCCTGATACACCTCTGGGTAAAAGGCAAGGATGGAACTGCAGTGGGAGGAAGCTGCAGAAAAGTCTCCGCTGACAAAGGCAGACTCAGTTTCCGCCGGCTGGTGCTTCCCGCCAGCGGGAAGACAGCACTTGTTTCTTGTTTCTTGTCTGCTGCTACAGGCCCGGAACTTCCTGAGGGCCATGAGGCTGGACGAGCAGGCCTTCTTCTACCACAGCAACTGCAGAGAGCCAGGCATCGCGGGCCTCATGAAGGTCGGGCATCCAGGCTGAGGGCCGAGCTGGCTCCCTTCATGTGGGTCATCCGTGCCCCCTGCCCCAGCCAGGAGTAGGGGCAGGACTACAGCGAGGTGTGCCCGCGGGCACAGGCTTCTTGTGGTCCACACCGTGGCCCTGCACTCATGCAGGCCGGCAGCCAGGCACTCGACTGCAGGGTGGGGGGGACTGGTGCCAGCACCAAGCTCTGCTTGGTTGAGTGCCCACCGGCAGGGTTGCCTAAGACTGCAGTATTCCCAGATGTCTGAGCCCGTGCTGGTCTGTGGCAGACAGATGGGGTGAGACTGTGTAGGCCAAGAAATGGAAGCTGGACTCGGACTGAAGGCTGGCTGTGGAGCTGAGTGGACAAATGACTAGAGACTCGGATCTGATTTCAGATTGTGAAGGAGGCTTACCCGGACCACACACAGTTTGAGAAAAACAATCCCCACTATGATTCATCCAGCAAAGAAGACAACCCCAAGTGGTCCATGGTAAAGTCACTCCTCTTTCTCCTAGTTCATGGATGGACAGAGGGCGGAGGCTTTGGGGGTCTCTAGGGCAGGGCCCGGAGCCCCGCTCCAGGGAGGTCACCCTGCCCGCAGGGCCTCGTACACTCAGCTGACAGCTGGCCGTGCTTTCTGTCCCACACACCGCTGCCGTGTGGGTGGATGTCGTTTGTGTGGATGATGATGACGCATTTCAGAGGCGTGTTTTCTGTCCCACGTGCCGCTTCCACATAGGTGGACGTACAGTTTGTGCGGATGATGAGGCGTTTCATTCCCCTGGCTGAGCTCAGAGCCCATCACGAAGCACACAAAGCCTCTGGCGGCCCTTTGAAAAACATGGCTCTCTTCACTCGCCAGAGACTGTCCGTCCAGCGCCTGACCCGAGGTAAGGGTGGCCCTTGTCTTTGGACCACATGCCAGAATGACTGAATTCACTCATACTCGCTGGTGAAACCTAAGCACAGTGGTTAAGAGCCAAGTCTGTGTTTCCCCCACGCCCTGCCCCACTCCCAAACTCCCACGAGAGGAGCTCCCCGGGCTGCCCAGGATGCTGGGTGCGGCAGCAGCCAGACCCCCTCCCTTTTCCCGAGGGAGCGGCTGCTGGTCTCGTGCCTGAGACATGCCTGCTGGACCGCTCCATTCAGGAGCGTGTGTGCATGCACATGTGTGTGTGCATGCTAAGTCGTTTTGCGTGTGTGACTATGCAACTCCACAGACCATATCCCCCCAGGCTCCTCTGTCCATGGGATTGTCCAGGCAAGAACACTGGAATGGGCTCCATGCCCTCTTCCAGGGGATCTTCCCGACCCAGGGATTGAACCTGTGTCTCTTATGCCTCCTGCATTGCAGAGGGTTCTTTACCACTGGCACCACCTGGGAAGCCCATTCTGGATGTGATTCAGACCTAATTCTTCCTCTTCATGCCCTTTTCGGCAGAGGAGTTTGATTTTATCCTGAGCCTGGAGGAAAAGGAACCGAGTTAATGGAGACGCGGCTGCTGAAATGGATAATGCCCCAAAGTCAAGTTACCACAAGACGAGAGGGAGTGTGGGGTTGTGAGTGGCGTGGGGCCTGGTCCTTTCTAATAAACACCCATGCTTAAGTTGAGAGTGTGTCTTCCAGTCAGCGTTGTGGGTAGATCAGGTTTCACGGCCCCCGCGGCCGGGTGCAGGGCCCAGTCTGATGACATGATTGTCTCTACCCTGCCCTGCCCGCCCTTCAAGGGTCTGGTCCTACGGAGGTTAAACCAGTAGTTTCAGGACCAGTTGCCAGGCTGGAATAAATCCGAAATTCCTTTCTCAGCCATGTGCTTGTCTGAAACCGGCATTAACAACGTGGGCATTACTGTTCACCTGGGGCCCCAGGTGTGGGGAGGTCAGGTATCGTGGGCTGGCGTGGCGCGTGCGGCGGGGTAATAAAGACACCACAGAGCCTGGTGGACCGTGGGCACGAAGACTGTGGACCGGGCCAGCCCAGGGGCTCACTTTAATCAGACACACATCTGAAACAGCTTTGTTTAAAACACAGCCACTGTAAAGACACACAGCGAGAAACCAGTACGCGCAGCGGCTCAACCCCAGGCTACGCTGCCTGTCTGGTCCCTCAGCTTTGCCGGGCCCTAGCTGCCTCCCTGCACTTGCCTGGCACAGAGGCAGAGGACGGGCAGGCAGAGGACGGAAGCAGCCGCGCTCTGGCTCCCTCAGAGGACGGTTGTCGGGCACGGGTGTCTGCGCGGCTGGCTGGGGGCAGAGGGTGGGCGGGTGGTCCTAGTGGTCACGGTGCAGGCTGCCCCGGGGGGTCCAGGGCTCGGTTCACACTCTGGAAAAGCCAAGGGGTGCTGTTCCGCCCTCTGGAACCGTGGGCCAGCCAGGGGACCACCTGCCCTTGCCTGGCTCTCTTGCCCCCAGTGCTGGCGCTCTTCCCGTCGCCACCCTAACGCCCTTCTCTCCAGTCTAGCTCTGACCCATAAGCCTTGCCCAGTCCGGGGCCCACAGCTGCCCCGATTTCCAAGGAAAAGTGATCCCTATAAAGACGATACAGAACAAACCCTCTGCCTCCCAGAAGACAGAGAAGCCAGACCCCCGACTGCATAGTACCTGCTGACCTCGGGGGTCTGCCTAGTCTTTCTAGAAGAGAAGAGAGGCCAGGAGACAGGACAGCCAGCCACACCTTTAACATGACAGGCCCAGGCGTGGTGTGGCTGCGGAAGACCCCCTCTAGCATGGCGAGCACCCACTACACAGAACACCCCTGGTCCCAAGCTGCGGGGGAGGACAGCAGCTCGGGAGGCCCGCCCCCCCTGCGGCCCCCTCGGTGAGCGCAGAGCTTCTAGGGGTCAGACCAAGCCCTGGTCCCCGGGCATGAGACGGACAGCAGGGACCAAGAGCCTCTGCTCCTGGGCGCCCAGGGCCACCGCTCCGCGCACAACCACTGAGTTCTCCCTGTTGCTGTCCACGTGCCACATGGGCCCTGGTGTCTCTGGGCCTTGGGGGCGGCGGCCAGAGGTGCTGCAGACCCCATCCAGTCCAGGACGACCATGCTTGGGAGTCGGAGGAGAACAATGGCGGCCTGTGGAGGCGCCAAAGCACCACATCCAGACTCCTGTGGCAGCTCCTGGCCTGAGCCCCTCTTGACGGCCGAGCCCTCTGCGGCCCCACAGACAGCTCCCCAGGGACACCCCACCTCTCCCCGCGCCCCTGTCGGGCACAGGGTCCTGGACACCCTGCCTCCCAACCCCAGCCCCTCAGGTTCTTCAGGAAAAAGGATTTACGTCAAAGGCATGGTTTGTTTTCAGGCTGCGAGCGCGGGTCAGCAGTCGATCTCCCGCCCCAGCCACTTCCCCGCCCTGGGCCTACTGTCTGCTGCTGCCGTCGGACAGTGGGCCAGGGGTCCGGGCCTCCCCCAGGGGCGTCGTGCCCTCGAAGCGCTGGGAGGCAATGGCCGCCTGGTGGGACATGCTCTTCCGGACGATGTCACCCTTCCGCCACAGCACCACCTCCTGCAGGGTGGCGGGAATGGCACGTGAGGGGGGTCTGGGGAGTCTTGGGGCAGGTGGCAACGGGGGTCAGCAAGTGAGAGGGGCCTGGGGAGTCTTATGGGGCGGGCATGTGAAGGGAGGCCTGGGGAGGATCCCAGGGACTCTTAGGCAAAGGCCCTCCTGGTCTCCCGCCAACGAGCAGCTGTCCATCCCTTGGGGCCTCGGGGCTCCTGCTGACCAAGGGGCCTGGAGGGCGGAGCAGCCACGGGGGCTGGGCTAGAGGAGACCGGCTCTGGTGTCAACTGGAACCCAGTTCCGGCCGCAGGGCTCAGGGTGAACCAGGAGGCACAAACACCTTCCGGGCTGCTCGGGTTGAACCAAGCGGCACAGACACCCACCAGCTCGCCCCCAGGCCCCGCCCCCGCCCCCACCTGCTGCTTGAAGTAGCGCCGCTCCTCGTCGTCGATGAGCACCAGGTTGAGGTAGTAGCGCACCGAGAACTTCTTGTTGATGTCCCGCATGGTGGGTGTGAGCTCGTAGCCCGCCAGGAAGAGGCGGATGGGGATGGACTCTCCTGCAGGGCCAGGAGGGGTCAGGGGGGCAGGGCAGGCGCCCCGCCTGCCGCCCAATGGCGGGGCCAGGCCCGCTCGTCTCCTTTTGGCTGAGGCCCGCCGGGACCGGGGTGGCAGAGCGCCAAGCACAAGACGCCAGGTGAGCAGCTCTGACTTACCAGCATATGAGTCTAGCGGCTGCGCTGTAAGAGCCAGTGGTCCCACCCTAGCTAGCGCACGGTCTTCCCCAGCGATTCCGGTGGCAGCTCCCCCACCCCGATTGGCCTGGCCCATCCCATGCCCCCTGAGACTGGTGGGCCCCAGCTCTTCCTACCGAGCTCTGGTGGGTCTCTGCTATCCCTGGACCCTCGTGTTCTCACATGGAAAGTGAGGGAATCAGGCTATATGGTATCTCAGATCCCTTCCACCTCTAACATGGTGCCTTCCTCAGCCAAGCAGAACAAAATCAGGACAGAGCTCCACTGAGCAAGCACAAAGCCATGGAGCCTGCATCACCCTGCGTGGCTCACAGGCCCCATGGTGCCCCAGGGAGGGCAAGCCTGGCCCCCTGCGTGGCTGGGGCCACGATGGAGCCAGTGGGCAGGATGGCCCAGTGCTGCCCCGAAGACCCCGCTCGGGAGGCCAAGGCCCTGAGAAGCTGTGAGCCCTCCTCCCGCAGGGCAGGGACTGAGAGAGCTGAGTGAGGCCCCGGAGGCACCCAGCACGTCCACGTGAAAACACAGACCGTCAGCAGCTGCAGTGACAACAAAGAACCTGAACAATCACTCCTCCCAGTAGCCACCAGGGTCCCACCAGCTCCCACCCCATTCATCCTAGAGGGCACGCCAGCACCGTGCACAGCAGCAGGGAGTGTCAGTCAGGGCGTCCACTTGGCCAGGCAGCCCAGAGCCTGACTTGTCAGCCCGGCACAGGAACTAGCAGGAAGGACCATTTTGCTCCCCCAGCGCCAAGGACAGTGCAAGCGGAGGCAGCACAGGCTCACAGCCCCCGGCCGCGACGGCATCCCTGACGCCCCAGCCTGGCGGGCTCACCTCTCACGGGCGCGCCATCCATGATCTCATACTTGGCGATGGTGTCGTTCTCATGGTACACATTGGGGCCCGTGCCGGTCGTCTCCCGCTTGATGATGTCAATCTCCATGTGCTTGATCTTGATCCGCACCAGCAGGAAGTAGATCTTCCCCACGATGACGTCCTTCAGGTGGTACCTGCAGAGAGGAAGCCAAGAGGTGCAGCTCCGGATGGGACAGCCCTCTTTGATCGGGAGAGGGCATCGCCCACCTGGGGGTGGTGGGCCAGGAGAGTTGAGGCCACGTGGGCCCACGTTCCTCCAGGCTGCCCCACGGAGTGGATTCCGATGCCCTGCGCTGGAGCCAGTATCACTCCCACAGCCGTCCTGCACACGACTCAGAACAGGTCCCTGTCACCCCTGCTCGGTACTGTAACCAGCATGTACTTTAGAGGCTCTGGGGTGAGAGGCTGACCCACCAGGAGTGGTGACCAGGTCCTGGTCCTCCTCTGGCGTCTGGGAGCTGGGCCCTCCCCGGTCAGTCAGCAGTGGGGCTGGTCTGCACCCGGTGTGGCCACAGAGAGCAAACCTTCCGAGTGAAGCTCGGGAAGAGGATGGGAGCTGGGGGCAGGGGCTGAGGACACAGGCCCCGACCAGAGGGGAGGACAGACCACGTGACAGACGCAGGGTGCAGGCTGGGGCCTCGCCCCAGGCTGGGGGCCTGCCCGCATCTGGCCCCGTCTGCCCCCCAGCTTCCTGGGGGGACGGTGGGCACGTGTGCTGGGCGCAGCCTGCTCTGCGGGCAGGGCCCGGTGTGCCCGTCCAGCCTTAGGCATGCCCGTCTCCTGCTCAGCTTGGTCTTCACCACATTGCTGGCTGGTGGCTGCTTGCGTTTCTACGAGGTGGCACTCCCCCTACACCAGGTGGCTGGGGTGCTGTTGGGCAGCACTCTGGGGGCTCCATCCTGGGAAGTCCTGCGAGCCCTGGGACTGTGAGGAGAAGGCAAAGGGTCCCTCCCAGGAGCGGGGCCCCTCCCATAGGTGGGGTGGGGGGCGGGGGAAGCGCAGCAGTTGTCACCAGTCCTAGGAGGCCCTGTGTTCCCAGTCCTAAGGAGGACCGCCCAGGCAGCCCCCGCCCCAAGCCTCTGGAGGCCAGCAGGTCTGAGGCGAGGCCGCCCCACCCAGAGACGCTCATTAGTGATGCAGGGGCTTTTTTAGTTCTGTGAGTCGAATATACGATTTTCAAGCATTTTCAGGAATGTACTACATTAAAAAAAAAGATGCTCATGGTAGGTTTTGAATGGTCAGTAAGTTCTGCAGTTTACAAGCACTGAGGTATTTTGATGCTGTAACAGCAGGCGCAGTCTAAAATGTTCTGGTCAGTTAAAATCAAGTTCTGCATGGCCTCACCAGCCGTCTGCCACTCACTTGGATTTGTTGTACTCAAACTCGATGTGCAGACAGTCTTCGATGCCGACCTCCATCTTGATGGAGGAGTTCAGCTCGGGGTACGTGCTCAGCGTGTGCACCACGATGTCCATCTCCTTGACGATGTCATTCAGACGGCGGCTGATGGTGGCCCGGAGGAAGTACCTGTGGGAGGTGGTCAAGCAGCAAAGGGACCTGGGTTTACTCACCCCCCCGCTGTCCCGAGAACCCCTGGCCAAGTCGGCCTCTGCAGCTTTGATTCCTCTGACCAGTCGCCTCTGGACACCCCCTCCCGGCAGAGACGCACCGAGACACGATCCTGCTATTATAGCTGCAGGGAGCTCAGAGGCTCTTCCCCAGCTGCTCCCGAGCCCGGCCCGGGAACCAGGGGGGCTGTACCCCAACAGCAGCCTCACCACCACCTGCCAGGCACTGTATGCAGCTTTTATTTCTGCAGCTCCTCCTGGCTCTTCAGGAGGGATCATGTACTCTTAGGTCTGCACGCTGTCTATCTGACAGTACTCCGTGAGTGAGCATGTTTCAAGTCCCCCACAGTTCAGTGACAGGGAGAGGTGATGGAGAAACCAGGTCAGCGAGTCCCCACAGTGTTTATTACGAGACCTAGGACGCAGAGATGGAGTCACAGGAGACTCGCGGTCCCCCAACCCCTGTGCCCAGGGAGACGGCCACTCAAGGGGAAACTAGAGCGCATGCAGAGTTTCAGCCAGAGGCCGCAGCCCGGTGCTGCGGGGAGAAGGGCCTTCAGGGAGAGTCAGCCTCAGAAGCAGAGCTGCAGAGGAGGAGAGGTGTGAACCCGGACAGCATCCGGCGGCGCCAAGGGGCCCGGCACCCATGAGAGAGAGGAGACACCGCCCTGAAGGACTGACACAGGACCCTTGGTAGAGAACCACTGTCCAACATCTCGATCCTGCAACTTCCCACCTTTCTCCACAGATCCAGTCTCTCTCCAGCTAAGCCTTCCTCCTGAGCTTCTAACCAGTCCCGGAGTCATCACTCCCCAGAGCACAACCCCAGAGACCGCTGTCCAGGGTCCTGATCGAGCCTGCAGCTTCCTCCACAGCCCCACACCTCGCCTGGCTGTCTTCACCACCCTGCCAGAGCTGCCCGCCACGGGAACACAGGTGCCTATCACTGCGCACGAGGTTCTCAAGGCTCCTCCTAGCTGTAGCAGGGGTCAGGGTCTGCCTCCCCTTCAAGGCTGAGCACTATTCTACCATGTGGACACACATGGCGCTCATCCACTCATCTACTGATGGATGCTGGGGTCATGTCCACTTTGTGGCTACTGGGAATGCTACTACTAAACGTGAGAGGACTTACACCTGTTTTGAGTCCTTGCTTTCACTTCTTTTGGATTTATACATAGAAGTGGAATTGATGAATCATTTGGTAGTTTTAATATTTTGAGGAACTGCCATACTGTTTTCAACAGCTTTCTGACACAGGAGATGACAAGAGTGAACATCAGCATTCTAGGAATCAGCGAACTAAGATGGACTGGAATGGGTGAATTTAACCCAGATGACCACTATATCTACTACTGTGGGCAGGAATCCTTTAGAAGAAATGGAGTAGCCATCATGGTCAACAAAAGAGTCCGAAATGCAGTACTTGGATGCAATCTCAAAAACGACACAATGATCTCTGTTCATTTCCAAGGCAAGCCATTCAATATCATGGTATTTCAAGTCTATGCCCAGACCAGTAACGCCTAAGAAGCTGAAGTTGAACAGTTCTATGAAGACCTACAAAACCTTCTAGAACTGACACCCAAAAGAGATGTCCTTTTCATCATAGGGGACTGGAATCCAAAAGTAGGAAGACAAGAAACACCTGGAGTAACAGGCAGATTTGGCCTTGGAGTACAGAATGAAGCAGGGCAAAGGCTAACAGAGTTCTGCCAAGAAAATGCACTGGTCATAGCAAACAGCCTCGTCCAACAACACAAGAGAAGACTCTACACATGGACATCACCAGATGGTAGACACTGAAATCAGACTGATTATATTCTTTGCAGCCAAAGATGGAGAAGCTCTATACAGGCAGCAAAAACAAGACCGGGGCTAACTGTGGCTCAGATCATGAATTCCTTATTGCCAAATTCAGACTGAAATTGAAGAAAGTAGGGAAAACCACTAGACCATTCAGGTATGACCTAAATCAAATCTCTTATGACTATACAGTGCAAGTGAGAAATAGATTTAAGGAACTAGATCTGATAGATGGAGTGCCTGATGAACTATGGATGGAGGTTCGTGACACTGTACAGGAGACAGGAAGCAAAACCATCCCAAGAGAAAGAAATGCAAAAAGGCAAAATGACTGTCTGAGGAGGCCTTACAAATAGCTGTGAAAAGAAGAGAAGTGAAAAGCAAAGGAGAAAAGGAAAGATTTTCCATTTGAATGCA